GACGTTGGGGAATTCAATCAAGCCACAAATGGGGTTAATAACTGCAATGCCTGCCTACTGGAAAGGGATGCTGTAAAGACTGAATGAGACAATCTATACACAAACTGTTCATACTGTCTGCAATGTTTCAAAATACTTCAACGTGAACAAATTAGCAAAGCTGATGATTATTTTTAACCTGTACGCTAGGGCAGTTGGCATTTGAAGAACTAATCAAAAGCTCATATAGCTGACTATAAAGTCAACTATAGTTCTCTTTGATGAAAACTACAGGGTTTTTATTTAGCATAATGGCTATCGCACATGATTTTTCATCAATCAAATGATCTTCATGATGGACTCTAAGTACTGTTCAGACATTGCCACTCTTGCATAAACTGAATGTAAGACTCTATGCAAACCAGCTGTCTAAACCTTTCAAAACAGTGCCCTGGGTGGGCTTCCCTGGTGGTTCACTGGTAAAGAATCTGCCTGCCAATGCAGGAGACACCGGTTCAACCCCTGGTCTGGGAAGATCCCACATGTCTTGGAGCAATTAAGCCCATGTATCACAGAAACTGAGTCTCTGCTCTAGAGTCCAGGAACCCCAACTACTGAGCACCCTTGCCACAACTACTGAAGGCCAAGTGCCCTAGAGTTCATGCTCCAAAACAAACAAGCCACCCCAGTGAGAAGCCCATGCACTGCAACTAGAGAAAAGCCCACACAGCAGTTAAGACCCAGCACAGCCTAAATACATAATTTTTTTTTTTAAAGCAAAACAGGGTCCTCATCTAAAGATTCCCACTAGTTCTGTTTCTAGACACTTTGAAGGAAATTTTGCCACTCAGTCCTAACAAAAAAGTTAACTAAATCCCAATAGATTAGCTAGAGTATTGTTCCATCTGGCTCTAACAAAACTTTCTTTCACAGTGTTATCCAAATGAACAACAGGACAGACCACAGGATCTTTCAGAGTAGCTCTGTCCAAAAGAACTTTCTATGATGTCAGAATTTTTTTTTTTTTTGCCCAGCACAATAAGGTAGCCCACAAGCTACTAAGATTCATTTCAGTTCAGCCGCTCAGTCATGTCCAACTCTTTGCGACCCCATGTACTGCAACACACCAGGCTTCCCTGTCCCTCACCAACTCCCGGAGCTTGCTCAAACTCATGTCCATCGAGTCAGTGATGCTATCCAATCACTTCATCCTCTGTTGTCCCCTTCTCATCCTGCCCTCAATCTTTCTTTCCCAGCAACAGGGTCTTTTCCAATGAGTCAGTTATTTGCATCAGGTAGCCAAAGTATTGGAGTTTCAGTTTCAGCATCAGCCCTTCCAATGAATATTCAGGACTGATTTCCTTTAGGATTGACTGATTTGATCTCCTGGTCCAAAGGACTCTCAAGAGTCTTCTCCAACAGTTCAAAAGCATCAATTCTTCGGCGCTCACCTTTCCTCATGGTCCAACTCTCACATCCATACATTACTGGAAAAACCATAGCTTTGACTAGACAGACCTTTGTTGGCAAAGTATTGTCTCTACTTTTCAATATGCTGTCTAGGTTGGTCATAGTTTTTCTTCCAAAGGAGCTAGTGTCTTTTAATTTCATGGTTGCTGTGACCATCTGCAATGATTTTGGAGCCCAAGAAAATGAAGTCTGTCACTGTTTCCATTGTTTCCCCATCTGTTTACTAAGAAGTGCTGGGATGGGATGCCATGATTTTCATTTTTTGAATGATGAATTTTAAGCCAGCTTTTTCATTCTCCTCTTTCACTTTCATCAAGAGGGTCTTTAGTTCCTCTTCATTTTCTGCCATAAGGGTAGTATCATCTGCGTATCTGAGGTTACTTATATTTCTCCTGGCAATCCTGATTTAAGCTTGTGCTTCATTCAGCCCAACATTTCACATGATGTACTCTGCATGTAAGTTAAATAAGCAACGTGACAATATACAGCCTTGACATACTCCTTTCCCAGTTTTGAACCAGTCTGTTGATCCATGTTGGTTCTAACTGTTGCTTTTTGACCTGCATACAGATTTCTCAGGTGGCAGGTAAGGTGGTCTGGTATTCCCAACTCTAAGAATTTTCCAGCTTGTTTTGATCCACACAGTCAAAGGCTTTAGTATAGTCAATGAAGCAGAAGTAGATTTTCTTTTTTCTGGAATTCTCTTGCTTTTTCTATGATCCAATAGCATGTTGGCAATTTGATCTCTGGTTCCTCTGCATTTTCTAAATCCAGCCTGAATATCTGAAAGTTCTTGGTTCACATACTGTTGAAGCCTCACTTGGAGAATTTTGAGCATCACTTTGCTAGCATGTGAGCTTGCTGTAAGGTAGCAGTAAGGAGACCTACGGCTCTCATCTACCGCTATTGTTAGTTACAGGTAGTCACTGAGCACTTGAAATGTGATGAGAATGAATGAAAAGCATTTTTATAACTTTAATGGTTGCATGTGGCTACCCTGCTGCACAGCACAATTCTGGGGCTTACAGATCAAGACTGTACGATGTTTTTGTGCCTGCCATTAAACAGTTGTATCTGTGGCGGAAATTCAATCTATGAGCTGCTTTCACGGCAACACTGGTTGGTGAAGTTGTGGGAGAGGAGACCTATAATTCTCACCACTGTTATCGTCGACTAACAATATTCAATATTTATGATGGATAAACAGATTCCTTGAAGTTGGTACCCAGTAGCAGCAGCCTGGCTCTAGGGGGCCACTGGACTTCAGAGGCAGACCTGGGTAATATAAACTGCAGAAGCTAAGACTGGGGTGAAAATACACAACTCAGAGGACTGTCATGAAAATTAAATCACCACACCTGTGAAAGCACCGCTGAACTTTGCTAACACCAAAATGCTATTTTCACCACCATTCTTCTTTAATTAAGTACAGGAGCTTCGATAAAGCTTTATCTGTTTGGGAATGGACATACAAATAGAACATAGGAAATTACACCCATCCTCTCCCTAATCCCTTAAGTAATTTCAGCTAAGAATTCGATCTGGAAAAAGGATATCCTTGTCACAATAGTTCTTTTTTTTTTTTTTTAGTTCTACCAGTTTATTGCTACCAACCCAACTCACTCCACCCTCGTGCACACATGCTCAGTCATGTAATCCCATGGACTTCAGCCCGCCAGACTCCTCTGTCCGTGGATTTTTCCAGGCAAGAATACTGGAGTGGGTTGCCATTTCCTTCTCCAGGGCACAATAGTTCTTATAAGCAAAATAAACCATGGGGACTTCCTCTTTTTCTAAAGAGTATGATCTGTGGTCCATTTAAGTTATATTTATGTAGTCCAAGTAAATCTATATTTATGTTGGTTTTTGTCTCCAAAGGTAAAATAATACATTAATATGTAAAACCACATTGTAGCAGCACAAGATAAATAAAACAAATTCAGGACAGTGATCCTGGGAAATGTGGGGAAAAATGAGGATCAGGGAAGGAATACAAAGGGACTTAAGTTTCATCTCCAACATTTCGTTTCTTTTCACAAAAACAATGGGTTAAATATGCCAAAATGTTGACTTGACCAAATTTAGTTGTAAGTATTATAGGTATTAAATCATTGACTATAGTTTTGTCTATTATTTTTCAAAAATTTATTTTGACCTAATTTTAGATGCACAGAGAAGTTGCAAATACAGTATCCATGTATCTTCACCATGCTTCCCTTAATGTTAACATCTTATGCAACCATAATACAATAATCAGACCAGAAATTTAACTTCAGGACAACATCATTAACTAAAATTAAAAACACACTGAAGTCTCCCCAGGTTTCCCACTCATGTCCTTTTCCCATTCTGATAATTCCATCTAGTTATTTTTCTCTAGTCTTCTGCAGTTTCTCAGTCTTTCCCTGCCTTTTATGGCCTTGACACTCATTATTTTGTTGTGTGTCTCAAAAATGGGGTGTGTCTGATATTGTCTCATTATTAGGCTGTGATTACACATTATGGGCAAGACTACCACAAAAATGACGCTGTGTCCTTAGTGTACTATATCACAGGTTTGTGATATCTTTTTATACTGTCAAAATATTTCATAATTTCAAAAGATGAAAAATCAGTAGCTATATTAGTCTCAGTTCTCCAGAGAAACAGAACCAATAGTACACATATGAATGTGTATATATATCAACACACACACACACACACACACACACACACATGAATGACAGAAGAGGTTTATCGTAAGGAATTGGCTCATGTAAGTTAGGGAAGTTGAAAAGTCCCAAGGTGCACCCTTTGCAAGCTGGCAACCCAGAAGAGACAATAGTGCAGTTCCAGTCCAAGTCCAGTGGCCTAAGCATCAGGAGAACTGATGATGTAAGTTCCAGTCTGAGTCCAAAGGTAGGAGAAAACCAATGTCCTAGCTCAAAGACAGTCAGGCAGAGAGAGCAAATTCTTCCTTCCTCAGTCTTCTGTTCTATTCAGGTTTCAAAGGATTGGAGGCCAACCCACACTAGGCAGGGGCCATTTGCCTTACTGAGTCTANCAAAGGTAGGAGAAAACCAATGTCCTAGCTCAAAGACAGTCAGGCAGAGAGAGTAAATTCTTCCTTCCTCAGTCTTCTGTTCTATTCAGGTTTCAAAGGATTGGAGGCCAACCCACACTAGGCAGGGGCCATTTGCCTTACTGAGTCTACTGATCCCAAAGTTAATCTCATCTGGAAGCACCCTCACAGACACACCCAGGATAATGCTGAACCAAATATCTGGGTACCCTGTGGCCAAGTCAAGCCAACACATAAAATTAACCATAATAGTAGCTTAATTTCTAAGTCAGAAACTTTCCACTTTATATATTTAGACTCTAAATCCCATCAAGTCAAATGGATTTGAGGAAGCATTCCAATTTTTAAACTTATCATTATTGGCTTCAGTTCTAAAACATTGTAAATTCACCTCATACTATCATTTTTAAAACCTCAAGAGCTTTATTATAGATGATTCTGCTTCAAGAGAAAAGTAATGAGCCAGCTATACTATTTATAGATAATATACCTGTGATCCAAGGAAAGGTAGGTCACCAAGTCAAAATAAGGCCCTAGGAAAGAAATGAACACAAGTAGTATTGTTAATGAGGACCCTGAATCCTCTGATTTGTTATCAGATGTAAAAGCTAAATCACCTTTTAGAATTGATTACACTCCTCAGCATGGCATCCTAAATATGTGTTGTTACTTCAATGATGCCTTAGGAAAAAATATCAGAATAAACTATGTAATATATGGGGGTGCCCTGGTAGCTCAGACAGTAAAGAATTTGCCTGCAATGCAGGAGACCCAGGTTTGATTCCTGGGTCAGGAAGATCCCCTCAAGAAGGGAATGGCTACCCACTCAAGTACTCTTGCCTGGAGAATATATAACAAGCAATTAACACTGATTATCCTTTTTCTGGGGTAGGTGAGAAGGCAAGTTTCAGGGACTTTGAGCTGTATATGAAATATATACATAAACATATGCATTTAAAATGAAATATATATGTATACATATATATACAAACACACATATACATATTGAGAGAGAGAAAGAGTATACTGAGAAATGGCAGTATGTACAAACATATAAGATTTCAAGTTTTCTCTGATGCTTCCCCTGTGTGAAGCTCTTTGCTCTTCAAGATGATTCTATAGTAGTTTAGGCTGAGAAATAATTTTTTCCCACTTAAATCTTTATGTTTAGTTCAAAGCATTCCATTTGCATGGGTAACGGTATAGCACACAGCTTCTTCCAGACCTTCACTCCAGCTGCATGGAAAGAAAGCTACTCATGAATCCTTTTCTAGGCTCCCAGCGCCCTGGGAGGCAGTCATAGAGTTTTTATGAAAAGCCAGAGCAGAGGAATCCAGATCTCATCATGCCAAAGAGGAAGCTGAATATTTATTTTAAATCTCATTTTAGTCTGCTCCAAATGTGGATGCCATTGCTTGGGGCCAATCCTGTGGACTACATACTTAGAATACACAGTTCCACTCAAAGGAGTTTCTTCCAAGGCACCAGAACACAGGTTTAATTTTGGCCTAAGTCCCAGGAATTTTTCAGGAAGGAGGCAGGTGGTCAGCCTCCCGAGAGACAGGAGTGTGTAGAGGGTAAGGGTACGAGCTCTGGAGCCAGACTGCTTATGTCTGAGCCCAGGTTCTAGGGTTTATGGTTTGGAGATGTGGGGAGGGTACATAACTGCTCAGGCCTTGGTTCCTTTGTCTGTGGGTGGTGGTGGTTTAGTTGCTAAGTCATGTCTGACTCTTGGGACCCCATGAACTGTAGACCACCAGGCTCCTCAGTCCATGGGATTTCCCTGGCAAGAACACTGGAGTGGGTTGCCATTACCTTCTCCAGGGTTCTTTGTCTATAAAACAGGGCAACTAACGATGCTTAACTGATTGGGGAGCTGTGAAGATTAAACAATAAGCACATACAAAGTGCTTAGAACAGGGCCTGGCATGCAATAAATGGCCAATAAATGTGACCTGAGCTCCCCAGAATTAACCTAGGACCCCAAACACTCATGGAATGTGTGGCATCTGTGGTCACCTGCCATGTGACCTCTGTAGAGTACAGATGGCATCTCCCCAATTCCAATTCTGCCTATTTCTGACACCAGGACATCATAACTCCTGAAACAGACTGACCGAAAACAATCTAACTTAACAAAACCTAGAAATTTAACCAGTGGGACTGACCAGGTGGTTCAGTGATAAAGAATCCACCTGGCAATGCAGGAGACCTGAGTTCAATCCCTGGGTTGGAAAGATCCCCTGGAGGAGGGCATGGCTACCCACTCTAGCAATTTTGCCTGGAGAATCCCATGGACAGAGGAGCCCAGTGGGCTACAGTCTATGGGCTGCAGAGTCGGACAGGACTGAGTGACTAAGCAAGAGCGTGAGAAATTTAACCAGTACAACAGCAAAAGCATTGTACTGATACAGAGCAAATGTAGCAAACGTTAAATATAATCTTGTTAAATGGAAATAAAGGCAGAAAAATGTTTGAAAAAGATCTTTTAGCAACTAATAGATTCCAATGAGCTCAAGTTCTTTAAGTCAGATCAGTGTTTCTTGGCTTTTCTCCTTTTCGTGTGTGTGTGTGTGTGTGTGTGTGTGCGTGTGTGTGTTGAAACCTATGCTTTTTGTTTGGATAAATATAAAAACCGTATGGTTTCTTTTAATGCTGTTTGTAACTTGAAAATTTTTTAAAAAGTGACCCAAAAAAGTTCTAAGCAATATTAATTTAGGAACATGCCTTTTCAACATTGTAAATCAACTATAGTTAAGTGAAAAAAAAATTTTTTTTAAACATAACATGTACTTTTTCCAACTACGTACGCACTCCATTCCTTGGAAACTCTGAGTGGAAGACCTACTCCCTTCCTGAGAGTCACTGATTGACCCAGAAACAGTACCCCACAGCCCCACAGTTTAGACCAGGCTGGCAGTCGCTGTAACTACATTTGTTAAGATGATTCTACTGTTGGAAAGTTTAATTTTTGTTTAGCCTCTGCAACCGACTGACTGCCTTCAATCCTATATGACCCACAGCTGTCCTCAGAATTTGCACATTTGGGAAGCAGACAACGAAAGACTTACTGCCTCCACCCATAAAGTGCCCCCAGAGACCTCACCAATCCCCTCATAATTCCATGATGCCATTGGGAAGGGGAGGGCAGACCAGGAAGTGGGAGGACCCAGTGAGGTCAGCAGGGGTCTCAGCAGAGGAGGATGACAAGGAAAAGCAAAGTTCCAAGTCTAGAAGAAACCAAGACCCCTCCCTCATGTTATTGAAGAGACTGTCAAAGGAGATAATACAGAGGACAAGGACAGAGATCCAGGTAACAGAACTGGTGTAAAATAATACAGACAACCTCAGGAATAAGGCCAACGCCCAGCTGGGAAGCTCAAAGAAGAATATAGAGGTCCTCAACAATGCATTCCTCTATACCTGTCCACATCCATCCTCACTTTTTTTCTTCTAACACCGGGAAATAACCAAGTATTATTACAATCAAGCCCCCTGCCCATGCCACGTATCCCACCCTTACTCTCCGAAAGCAGCAGCCAACCTTTTAAGTTTTGAAGCTGTCCCCCAGTACTGACTGGGCCCTCTTCTGGATGTGGGGAGGGGGTGCAGACACTAAGCTGCCTCTGCCTCCTCCCTCACCTTCTCACTCAGACACGGATGAAGTAGAGTCCAGGCCCACTGGTACCACCTCGTCTCCTCCCATCCATTTCTCAACCCAGGGCAAACCTGCTGACTCTATTCTCATGGAAGCCAACCAGTAACATTCACGCTGCCAAGTGCACTGAAGTTTTGTTGTGTTTGCTTGTTTTCATCATGTTGAGCATTCAATATACTTTGAGTTAACTGGAAGAACACCTAATAAATGAAACCACTACCTGAGTATGTGCTCATAGGATAAAAACCATCTTCCCTAACAGGGGTGAAAGGCTTTCCATGATCTTAGTGACCCTGTTTACCACTTCATGATTGATCTCCACCCCACACCTGGCTGTTTCTCACTAAAGAAGAATATAGAGGTCCTCAACAATGCATTCCTCTATACCTGTCCACATCCATCCTCACTTTTTTTCTTCTAACACCGGGAAATAACCAAGTATTATTACAATCAAGCCTGCCCATGCCACGTATCCCACCCTTACTCTCCGAAAGCAGCAGCCAACCTTTTAAGTTTTGAAGCTGTCCCCCAGTACTGACTGGGCCCCTCTTCTGGATGTGGGGAGGGGGTGCAGACACTAAGCTGCCTCTGCCTCCTCCCTCACCTTCTCACTCAGACACGGATGAAGTAGAGTCCAGGCCCACTGGTACCACCTCGTCTCCTCCCATCCATTTCTCAACCCAGGGCAAACCTGCTGACTCCATTCTCGTGGAAGCCAACCAGTAACATTCACGCTGCCAAGTGCACTGAAGTTTTGTTGTGTTTGCTTGTTTTCATCATGTTGAGCATTCAATATACTTTGAGTTAACTGGAAGAACACCTAATAAATGAAACCACTACCTGAGTATGTGCTCATAGGATAAAAACCATCTTCCCTAACAGGGGTGAAAGGCTTTCCATGATCTTAGTGACCCTGTTTACCACTTCATGATTGATCTCCACCCCACACCTGGCTGTTTCTCACCTGGGAGTCCTTGCTCACGTGTCTCATCTGCTTGTAAGGTCCTCTCCCCCAATCACTCCCTCCTTTTCAGCTAACTTCCACACCCCACTAAATACTGAGACCAGAGGGACTCTCCTCTAGGAGGCTTCTCCTGATGCCCTCTCCTGAAGCTCCACCCTGGCTGCACAAGGTACCTCCTTCCGTTCTCCCATGACATTATTTTTAAGTTCTGTTGCTGCAGTTACCATTCAGCCCTATAAAAGGCTGTTTATGTCCATTTCACCAAATAGGTTCTAAATTCCCTCAAGACAGGAACCATCCTGGACACCGACATGACAAGAGGAAAGGAAGTGTCATGGCGTTTGTCCTTCTGCCATCGAGAGGGAGTCTTGTCAGCTGAGTTGATGAGGGGATGGGATATTTTGAGAGCAAGGCACTGGCTCCTGTAGCTTTCGATCCCTTTCTTCTCTCTGCCCACACTTCTGGCTATAACTTGGGTCCTTGTGTTACCATGGTAACCAACAGTCCCAGAACACAGACTTCCGGCAGCTGGACTTCTAGCTACTGAGACTCAGGACCTGAAGAACTTCTCGTGTCTCCAGTCTATGGCTCAGGAGTTGGCAGCACCCCTTTCACGTGGGCAGCCACCAGGGCAGAACCTTACAGAGACTACAACAGGTGCATGGACGTGTGCATGTGGGTTCCTACCCTCTCCCCCGGTTTCTATGGGACATCATAGAAAATGTGCTATCAGATGGTGGAAGGATATGCATCTAAATTGCTTCTGGGAAGCAACTTGGTATCAACTATTAGGAGCCTTTAATACTTTTTTGGTCTTTGATCGATTAAACCCACCTATAAAAACATAAAGGGAGACACAGAGACTTATTAACAAGGGGTTTTACTGCAGATGTATCTATTAAAGACAATAACTACCTAAGTCATTAATAAGAAAGTGGTTTACAATGACAGAAGGGCCATATTCACGTTTAATGCAGGCTGTGCCATCAGTTCAGTCAGTTCAGTTGCCCAGTCGTGTCCGACTCTTGGCGATCCCATGGACTGCAGCACGCCAGGCCTCCCTGTCCATTACCAACTCCCAGAGCTTGCTCAAACTCATGTCTATCGAGTCGCTGATGCCATCCAATCATCCCATCCTCTGTCGTCCCCTTCTCCTACTGCCTTCAGTTTTTCCCAGCATCAGAGTCTTTTCCAATGAGTCAGTTCTTTGCATCAGGTGGCCAAAGTATTGGAGCTTCAGCTTCAGCATCAGTCCTTCCAATGAATATTCAGGACTGATTTCCTTTAGGATAGACTGGTTTGATCTCCTTGCAGTCCAATCTGCCTGCAGTGTGGGAGACCTTGGTTTAATCCCTGGGTTGGGAAGATTCCCTGGAAAGGGGAAAGGCTACCCACTCCAGTATTCTGGCCTGGAAAATTCCATGGACTGTATAGTCCTCAAGGTCACAAAGAATCGAACAGGACTGAGCAACTTTCACTTTCACTTTCAGGTTGTGCCATAAAATATAATAATCTCAGTTTCAACTGATGTGACTTTCATATCTACATATACACATGACTGTACATATATATGTATATATGTACACATATATATATTATTGTATACACATAAGTACATATAAATAAAAAGAAAAGATTATAAGGAAATCCACCAAAATGTTTTCATGATGATTATCATTATCTCTGGACAGGGGATCACAAGCATATTTATTTTCATCTTCATACTTTTTTACATTTTTCAAATTTTACACCATGATCATTTTTCTTTTATGATACAAGTTTTTTCAACTGTAGTAATAGATGATACGAGGCATCCAGTGAAGATGCTTAGTGGAGAGGGTTGTATAGAGCAGGTTCTTAAAGGGAGAGGGCTGCCTCCTTTGTTCTTCATTGGAGATTGTAAAACAGATGAACTTCTCTCAGAGTGGGATAGTTCCAAACAGAAAAAAGAATGGATAATGTTATTGGGTAAGTACCATATTACCCTCCTCTTCTCCCCAGTCCCACTTAGATTTTCTCTTTTGAAGATCCCTGGGATGAGGGAGACCTGAGATTTGAACCTTCGAACTCCATGGTGCACTCATTCTCCAGCAGCTCTGAATCAAACCTGAGTCTCTCTGTGGGCTATTTCCCCTGTGAGGACATCTCCTCCTGTGAGAACACCCTCTCCTGTGAAGACTCATCTGCTGAAGGTCCATCAGTCCACTTTGTCCCTCCTATCCAAGGGTCATGGTGGACTGAAAACACAGGGAGGCTCCTAGCGAGACGAGACCAGACACAGGACGGCCCAGAACAGTTCTGCAAACTCAGCATCACCCTGGCCTGGGATGTTGACGTGGCCTCTAACAATTCAGACTCAGCTGCTAACTGTGACCTAAGTGGAGGCAACAGAGACAAGCACCCCAAAGAGAAGACACAGATGACTCTCAGCAAACTGGACGGTCTTGTGCAAAAGCTTGAGAAATTTCTAGAGAACCAGAAAGATGACAAAGATGATGACTCTGTGTTCCCTGAATCTGCTCAGGAAGAAGACTCCCAGCTGCCTAGCAGCTCCCTTCCAGGTATGGCTCAGGTTAGTCATCAAGAACATGGTAGCTGTCAAGATTTGGCCAAGTTCAACCCACTAGAACATGAAGATGTCATCCAGTTTCCACAGATTCATCCAAGGCGTCAGAACCAGGAGCTTGCTAAGGTGAGCAGAGAGGTGCCTCACAGGCAAGCACAGGACAGGCTTGGTGGAGGGTCCAGGTGGGAACGCATGGAGCATTACTCCCCACTATAGAAGGGACAGCACAGAGGTGAAGGCAAAATACCAAGGAGCCCTGAGAGAGAGAAAAGGGTAGGAATGTAAACCAACAATTATGACCAAAATACGAGTGTGTGTGTATGTAAATATTAATGAGTACTGAAACTCAGCATATGCTGGGTATTAGTCATTCAGTCATGTCTGACTCTTTGTCAGACTCTTTGTGACCCCCATGGACTGTAGCCTGCCAGGCTCCTCTGTCCATGGGATTCTTCAGGTAAGAATACTGGAGTAGTGGGTAGCCATTCCCTTGTCCAGGGGATCTTCCTGACCCAGGGATCAAACCCAGGTCTCCTGCACTGCAGGCAGATTCTTTACCCTCTGAGCCACCAGGTAAGCCAGTTAAAGGATCTGAGCTCCCTAAATGGACAACACTGGCCCCACTGTCGCCCAGGTTGCACAATATCTAACACTCGTCTTCTTGGCAGACAATAAGCGAGGCAACTGGCAGCCAAGGGACAGATATTGCAGAGATCTCCTCAGTCTTATCAGGTCTACCAGAGGAGGAGGACACTCACTCCAGCACAGAAGCCCTCTCATGTCTGAATTTCGGGTGCGTCTTCCGCTGGCTAAGGCACCAAGTCCTCCCCTCACTTTTGGGGAGAGAGGATCCCAAGAAGGCCACTGAGCGTCCCCGTGAACTGGCACAAAAGAAGAGATTCTCTCACAGAAGCAAGAGAATCCAACCTCAAGAATCCTTCGAATTAGGACACCCCATACCACCAGATTTTTAAACTTTTTGATAGTCCCTATTCTACAAGCCCCACAAGTTGTTTTTCCCAATAAACAAAATATATATTCTTTTAAAGAATTTACTTATTTAGTTATTTATTTTTGGCTGCCCTGGGTCTTCATTGCTTTCCAAGGGCTTTCTATAGTTGTGGGGACTGGGGGCCTCTCACTGCGGTGGCTCCTCTTGTCTCAGAGCATGGCTCCAGGGCACACAGGCTTCAGGAACTGCTGCGTGCGGGCTCAGTAATTGTGATTCTTGGACTCTAAGGGCACAGTCTCAATAGCTGCGGCACACAGGCTTAGCTGCCCAGCAGCATGTGGGATCTTCCCAGGCCAGGGATCGAACCAATGTCCCTTGTATTGCAAGGTGGATTCTTAACCACTAGGCTACCAGGGAAGCCCTCCAGCTGACTTATTATTTAAGAGAAAAGTCATGTAAACACATGACTATAAAGGGTTATGGCAAGTAAGAGTATGCACGTGGTCCATATTGAATACTAAATAACCAATTCAACACAGGTAGGTTGATTTTAAAAGGTTGCATATATAAGGTTCTTTGAGTCACAAATACGGTTAGTCTAAAATGGAGGATTTTACAAATTGGCATGGAGTTTAAAGTGTTCAATCCTGGCAGGTTATACATGACAGACACTGACAAGAATGTTGTCCCAGGAAAAAGATTACTATGGGAATGAAGAAATCAAAGAATAGTGCATTTTTAGCAATCTACGCCCATGGTTACACCCTGAGTCTCTGCACAGCCGACTCCTCACTTTATCTACCTCTGAGAAAATTTCTCATTCAACTAGCTCACCCGAATGCCCTCGTTCACCTTCAGCTGCTCCCTGACTTCACCAAGACTTTGAGTTCATTACCCCATGAATTTCATTCACTTCCTTCCAGGAGCAGACTTTGCCCCTCCTTCCCAAGCCATGGCACATCCACCACATCCACGGGCACTGGCAATACTGCCCTTTTCTTTTCCCAGATCTTTTCATCTATATTCTCCAAATTCCCCACAACAGTCTTCCTTCTCTCACAAGAGCCAACACACAAACACAGAAATTACCTTCTCCACTTTTCTGGAGAATTCCCACAATGTTTTCTCAAGTCCCCCATGGCCTGAGACACTCATCCTTAAAGACACTGCTCCAGGGTTGCTAAGAGGCCAAAAGTGATTCTTCCAGTTGACATGGTCAACTTTACTTAAGCTGTCCCCCAGCCCCCACCTTCACACCATGACTGGTATGTTTCAGCTCTCTGGATATGACTGTTTTACCTACAGACTCTGACCTCTTGAAAACAAGTACCACGTTTTGGTTTTTACTGCAAGATCTTAACAGAGTCTGCTATAGAGTGCTCTATCTCTATATAATCATTTTAAGATCTGAATATATTCTATTTCTCTTTTTTCTCCTACGTAATTTTTTTTAAAAATGAAATACAATAGCTTAGACTTGCTATTCCTTAAGTCAAAAAAGTTACTGGTCAGCAGGTTTAAGAGTAGGAAAAGAGGGTTGGGGGAGATAGGAAGAAGAGAAAATGGCAATCTGCAGAAGGTCAGGGGAGGTGGTGACCTACAGACTGAAAAACTAAGGCCAGAAGAATTTAGCAACTATTATTAATTTGAAAATTTAATTCAACAAATATACACAGAGCCTTATTGTTGCTTTAGATGAGACACTAGAATACACCTAAAAGAAAGATGATAACTCCTACCCTCGTGGAACTTGTAACCAGTCTTATTGTCTGCTCAATTCTTTATTAAATAAGTCAACCTCTAAGAAAAACTCACCCCAAGTGAACTACTATAAGATTGCCCACATTAATAAGAAGCCCTGTTCATTCGTAAGATTTCCAACATATTAGTGTTTATTTTTCAGTGTTTGAAAACCTGTTTGACAAGTATGAACCCACCTCTATGACTCAATGTACTTTACAAGACTTTATAATAAATATTCTTTATAAAAAATTGTAATTCCAAATACTCTTTGAGATTGTTCTGCTACATCTTAGAAAGTGATTCAAAGTGTTTAAAAACAGGAAATATTTCAGCACCTCCTCATTTATTAGTGTCAAATATGCTACGAAGCTCTCAGTTGCATGCCAAACTAGGACCAGGTTCTCTGCTCTGTGTTGTATCCAAGGGACTGAGCTGGAGGAGACTACCACAAGGCCAGAGAACTGACAGCAAATTTGGCATGGTCATGGAGAGACTCCAGCTCTGCAGAAACCTCCAGAGTCTAGGAGAATGGCTGTTCTTGCCAGGCAATGTGCTATTTTCTTCAAGTGCACTGCTCAGTCTTGTGATAAAGTTCAGATGCTTGAAATTAGCAAGGTTTTGCCTTATTCATATTCTAGACTCTGTAACAACACAGTAATACAATGCAAGGTGAGAAATTATCAAACAAATGTAAGGAATATTCAGCTGTCTCCAAACATAGAATTAAGATAAGTTAATGTAAATTTCACAGACCACCTCATGCCACCCCAATTTCTCACTCAGCAAGATCTCAACAAGAGAAAAAAGTATGTGATCATACCATACCAGCAAAATAGAGGCAAATCACTTTTCCAAACTTCAAGAACATAACATGAAAATGCTCAAAAGAAGTAAGGGGTCCAAGGTCTACCTGATCACAAAAATAATGTCCAAAATCCTCTTATAAAACAATGAAAAGAAAAACAAAGCAAATTATAAATGAATTCATAGAGTTCTGGTAATGACCCCAGTGTTCAAGAATAGTTTTGTCTAGGCAGGAGGGATAGTTAACGAGCTTCAAAAATAGGTCTTTTCATCATGAACTGCAAGCAAGAGAACTGATACTGCATTCAGGGTACTCGTTAATCTCAAGATGGATGGGCGGGTTTTCAATTGCAATGTCCAGAGTCAATCTTTTCCTGCCTCCTCTTACTACCTCAACAAAGAGAACAACACTTTGCTTTCAAAAGTGAAATGAGATCCTCATCAGATAAACACCAAGTCACTGAGTGAGCTGCTCATGAGCAGGGTAGGTATAAAAGCTTTAGGATAATTCTTGAAAGAATTCCAAGCCTAGATCAAGGCATCTCCCCTCCTAAACAATTTCTGTCTACTATCTACCTTTCACAGGAATTTCATGGTTGAGATGCCCATTTGATTTCAACTAACATGCCTTTACCGGAGAAGGCAATGGCACCCCACTCCAGTACTCTTGCCTGGAAAATCCCATGGATGGAGGAGCCTGGTGGGCTGCAGTCCATGGGGTCACTAAGAGTCGGACACGACTGAGCGACTTCACTTTCACGTTTCACTTTCATGCCTTGGAGAAGGAAATGGCAACCCACTCCAGTGTTCTTGCCTGGAGAATCCCAGGGACGGGGGAGCCTGGTGGGCTGCCGTCTATGGGGTCGCACATAGTCAGACACGACTGAAGCGACTTAGCAGCAGCAGCAGCAACATGCCTTTAAAGAACTATTTATAAAGAACATTTTCAGACAGGAGGGCAGACATGAAATATCTTTTCAGATTGTGGCTGTTGAATGAAAACATCTCATTATTAATTGAATGCTCTCAGTCTAGAAGGAAATCAGAAAGGTGATTTGTTTTGTTGTTCTTCATCTGCACCAACAAAGATTTATTACTTTAAGGGTAAATCCCCCAAACTAAAAGACACACCTCTCTCCCTCTCTCTTTCCTAGAACTTTCTTCCTATACATCCACTCACAAAATAAAACACTTCTGACATTGAAAATAATAATAATACGTGTTTGCATAGTTGTTTCTGAGTTTCACTTTTGTCGGCTCCTCAGCCGCCTGTCTTTGGGGTCTAGATTTTTTCCAAACAGAGATGGGGGTAAAAAGGAGAAATTTTCTTTAGTAAAGTAACTTTCAAAAATTCAGTTAGTACCATATTGCAACCACCAACCTGGTCACTGATTCGCATAACGATCCAAGATGAATGTGAAAAACACTGGATGAATGACTGAGTATGGGGGAACAAGATATGCACATGGTCCTGAAGAATTACCCCACAGATAACTTATCAAGGGGATTAGGTACCTGTACAATGAGAGGTCCAGTGAACACCAACTTAATCCAGGGATTAAATCTAGCCTAACCACTATCACATACTTTCTAAAGAGAAGCGGTATACTCTTCCTAGCACTGTTGAATCTGAATCTGGTCATTAGGAAACCAACAGTCAGATGAACCCGGATTGAAAGACATACTTTGAGATAAATGTTTTAGACTTTTCAAACATGTTACTGTCATGAAATACAAAACAAGAAAAAACAAAAAAGGGAGGGAGACAAGATAATTCAAAAAAGACAAAAAGAGATCTAACAACCAGTTTCTATTTACCATCCTTATTGAATCCTCCAAATCTACAAAACTATGATAAAAGACATTTTTTAATCATTGGAGAAATCTGAATGGGGGCTATATATTAAACACTTTCAAGCAATTCAGGAAAAAAATATTAAATAGAGAACGCAAAAACAAAGATGGGAAAAAAAAAAAAACTCCAGTAAGTAGGGAATCCAGATCTCTGTTATTAAAGTATCACATTTGCTGTGCCTGTGTGATGTGTTAGTTGCTCAGTCGCTCTTTGCGACCCCATGGATTGTGGACCACCAGACTCCTCTCTCCATGGGATTCACCAGGCAAGAATACTGGAGTGGGTTTCCATTTCCTTCTCCAGAGGATCTTCCTGATGCAGGGATCGAACCCCAGGTCTCCTGCGTTACAGGCAGATTCTTTACCATCTGAGTTATCAGTGATAGTAACATCTTAAAGGTGTATATATTTAAATCATTAATATTTTTCACTCTGAACAAAACTTAGGTATTAGTCTGATTTCAAGTGATATAAACCGGGCAGTTCTTTAATGTGGATTCATTCATCTGGATACCTGCCTTTGAATTCACTGCTGGCCACAAGGAACTCTCAGTCTCATGGGTTAAAAAATATTCGTCCCCTAAGTCCCTCTAACTGTAAAAAGACAAACCGGAACAGTTGAAAGAAGATTAGCATCTAGGCATTTTTCAAAAACATTTCAAATTTCAGGAGTTTATTTAGCTTTTGTAAGAATGATGTTTGTCCAATGGAGACCCAGGCTTTCTGCCTTCAAATTATCACAAATTTTGGGACTTCCCTGGCAGTCCACTGGTTAAGACTTCACCTTCCAAAGCTGGGGGTGTGCGTTCTATCCCTTGCTGGTGAGCTAAGATCCCACATGCCTCACGACCAAAAGACCAACATAAAGCAGAAGCAATATTGTAACAAATTCAATAAAGATTTTAAGAAATGGTCCACATCAAAAAAATCTTTTAAAAATTATCATAAATTTTAAGGTCTGGATAGCTCATGTTTACTCTCCAAAGAACTTCGTGAGCATTTTCCATGTTTCTCACAGATCAAGAAGAGCTTGCCACTCTAATACTATAATAACAATTCCTACAAACTGTTGTGACATTTCATTTTGAGTGGTGCTATATTCTTCTGCTTCTTCCAATGTAAGAAGCAACATAAGCCTAAAGCCAC